TAACCAAAATCCCACATGCTTGATATAATCACTCAGTGCCTTTAGAAAGGGTTTTATACCTAATATGGACAAAAAAGGGCTCTGCTTTTTCAGAGATGTGACGTGTAGTGAGCAGGTTCGGATCCAGAAATAGAGTCATCTGTATTCACTTAGCTTTGGTATTTTTTTGTGGTCTTTATTGTAACAGGCAGGCACCTGCTGACTGTCCAAGTCTAGATTGCAATATTCAGATTTAAAAAGCACAGCTACCCCTCAGTTTGACTTGATTGACATCTGTGTGGCATGTAAATGTCAAACACATCATGAAGAAGTTAATCACTGTATCAGCAGAGTCTAATGATGAGACAAAGATAAAAATATACTGACCTTCTATGTGAATACAGAGGAGATGATCAGTCACTTTGGCTAAATGTACAAGTAGGCAGAAGCTGATGGAAATATTGACTGAGCTCCTTTATCACAGAGTCGTTAGTAATGGAGATGATTCTGTCACTGCTGCATATCAATAATCTACAGCTGTGCAAAGAGGCTAAGTGATGCCAAGTGATTCTTTTACAGCCTCTTTTCAGTCCATGCAGCACAAGCACAGCTGACTCCATGAGATGCAAGGAAGTAGGCAGCCTCCCCTCTTGTCTCAGACCCTGCTTTCACCTTTTGGCTGCTTGAGATACTGGGGTTTGCTAGCGTACCGGCAGCCTTTCTGTGCCATGATGGATATAGCTCCTGGATGAGGTAGCACCAGGACTTCCTTCCATTGTATCTTGGGACTACATGTGACTGCATCTTGAGTCAACAAGCTGCCTTGTTAAAATAACAGCGCCTAGAAAGTGTGTGCCTGCTGATCTGGTGAAAATCAGTTGCAACTACACAAAACTGGAATGCTGCATCACAGCTTATTAAATATACAGTGGGAAGCTGCTATGCATGGATGTCACTGCCATCTGCGGGCACTGTACACATGCAAGACACAGGCAGACCAGCTCTCTGCTCTGAGGACCTTTGCCAGTGAGGACGGTTTTTCTAAAGTGCTCAGCATTGACCTAATTCTACTTCTTTTCCAGTAAATAAGCTGAATCCAACCACTCCTGACAGGCCTTTCCCTGTAGTGGTATAGGCAGGGTTGCAGAGTCCAGTATGCTGAGGGAATACAAGTCAGTCACGCCAATTTAAACCATTTGTTTCTCTTGTAAATATCTTCAACAGGATGATTATTGAGGACGGTATTTATAGGGTTTTTTGGGGGGAGTGGAGGGAATGTGCATCATTGATTCACAATGCCACTGTTTAAGTTATTTGTTTCATGTTTATCATGCATTAATCTGAGGAAGTTAGTGATTTAGCTCATGCAGCTTGCCTTTGTGTAGGTCTATAAGCTTGCTTTTTGTAAGCTGAACTCTCTTTGAACATCATGGCGTGAATAGGGAACTAAAGCCATCATAACCTCCCTTAGCAATGTAGTTCTCATCTTCCAGCACATGGCCCCAGGGTGGCCCCACTCCTCGTGCCGCAGCAGGAGCAGAGGACAATGATAGCACAGGCATGAGTTACACTCGTAGTTAAATGTGCTTTTATGGCTGCAAGCTGGAGCAATATTGGAATACAGCTCCAACGCGCTGTGATTTCCAAAGTGGATAAGCACTATTTACGCTTTTTAGTTTCCTGTCTTATGGAAGAAATACGATGCTTTTCCAAGAGTAGCTATTTTGATGGAGAAACGGATAGTGAAAGATGTCACATGATGGCCAACTGTGTGATCAGAGAGAGAAGTGTATTACCTTGTGACTCCAAATTAATATGTAATTTCAATCTTCTTTTCACTGTTATCAGCCAAGTGGAAAAGGCCCACGCCTACCTGAAGTTTATTGTGTCATCAGCCGGTTGGGGTGCTTTGACTTATTTTCCAAGGTAAGAAGATATTTTTTTTTCAATATTGCTTTTTAATTTGATTGTTCACTGAGACACATCCGCAGTGATGAACAGACGAGAAGAATTTCTTCCTTTGATGGGAGATAACTGTATTTTACAGTTGCTGTTTTGGATATTCCATCCCTATTATTGGGTTCGTCAAAGAATGTCTTATTACTTCTGTGACTGAGGCGAACTTGATTCAAAAAACATCTGGGTGTCTGTATGATCTGGCTGACTGAAGTTTTTTCCATTGTTTTCTAAAGCCGTTCTGTGCTGAGCTGTAATTCTTGGCATCCAGAGTTTGAATGATGGGCCAGTACCACTTTTACTCCAATACCCTGTGAAATGATGAGGTTAAGAAAAAAGATTATTTGATAACTGAATTCTATATGCTTAATTCTATTGACACGGTTTTTTATCCTAGGAGGCTAGGAAAGCACAGATAGTCTTTTAATTGGCCTCCACATTAACGAATCCAAAGCTGCATTGTATGCTGATGTGGTTTACCTAGGTAATACATTTCCTGACGCAAGAGTTTCAAGACAATAAGCAGGGCATTGCAGCTAAACTGAGGGATTAAATAGCCATAGAAACAGTTAACTGCCAATCAGCTCCAGAGCCGCAAGCATTCTTCTTTTGTAAGACAAAAGGTTATTGAAATTAACTATTAATAACATTTCTGATTGATTAAAATTTTAAGTATCTCTCTAGCTGCCAGTTTAGGGCCTCCTAGTCCTCTGAGAGTGTGTCCTGCAAAATCCAGTGAGCACCTCAGAGTGTTGTATAGGATTTGCTGGTGATCTGTGGAGAGCAATGACGTGTCTAATGTCAAATGGCTGCCTTCCCCTTCCCCAATTTTGATACAGTGTTCATGGAAATGTTGCTTTAATTTGCCAGAGATTTTAACTTCAGATATGGGAAATCTCACAGAACTTACACAGATTTTTCTTGTTCATTTGTATAGGAATAAAGTTGAAAAGAACATGTGAATCATTGAAGTTAATAAAAATCATAGCATTTATATTGTTCATATGATCTAATAATCATACAAAATGTTATCTTCAAAGCAGGTTTCAAGCTTTTATAGATAAAACTTTAACACAAATCTTGTGTGAAGAAAAACAATTGGGTTGCAATAGTTAATTGCAATTCTGCTTCTGACATCTTTCATAAAGCTCTGAAGTCAAGGGTTTATAACAGTGTCTTTTAGACATGATGTGTATCTAAACATAGATATCTGTGAGTGAAATGCAATGCATTGTCCTGGGAGGATAACACAGCTCACCAAACTCATGGTATGGAGAGATGTCGTGAGGCTTTTTGTTTGCTTTTATGTTTTTATCTAATTTTGAAAGTGCACTAATTTTCAAAGGAAAACTTGGGAGGGGGGGAATAAAAAGCAAAAGATAAAAAAAAAAAAAAAAAAAAGAAGAATTTAAGTATCCTCCTTACAACCAAGTATCACTGCAGCTGAGGTATGAAGTCAGACAAGGAAGGTCATTGCACCAAAATCCAAAACTGCAAATAATCTGCTTTCCCAGTTCAATCTGTAACTTGGAAAAAAGTGTCTGATCATCCAGCCAAAGTGAACCCAAGGTTGACAGGTGAGTGTAACTTCACTGACTTCAGCAGGGGCTATTCCCAGGCATTGTGGCAGGCGGGCCCTGGCCACACAGGCCTCAAATTCTTGGTCTGTGCAAGAAGGAAGGCTCCCACTCAATTGCATGTTGGGCCCTGAATAGGGCTGTAACACACCTCTGCTCTTTTTCAACTACGGGGCTCATGGAGGGGCTGAGCCACAAAAGGACCCTGTCCGCACTGGAGCCTGGCCACCGCGGCACTGTCCTGCAGAGGGCTAGTCACCGCCCGACGGTACTGGCACCAGGGTGGGAGCAGGGTGCTGGCAGCACGTGGGGCTGATGCCAGCCCTGGGCTGGATTTAGCACAGCTCTTTGGCAGACACTCCAAGCACTGCATTTGGAAAGGGTTTGGATGAAACAGCTGTTAAATGAAGGAGGAAGAGTTTGACCCTTAGCATCCCTGTTGGTTTTAAAGACAGATGTGGTGTGGATGGAGACAGACGTTCCTGAAAAGTGAGGCAGTCTCTTTTTCCAACCTAGTAAGAGGAACCTGGGCTGTCCTAATTGCTAAATCCAGTGAAAGAGAGGAAAACGATTGTGATGGTGTACTTTGCCGAATTAGTCAAAACAAGGAACAGTTGTCTTTACGGAAAAATGTGAGTGATGAAAGACCATGAGATATTAAACTTTGGATATTATTTATCAGAAAAGCAAAAGGAGTCCTCTGTTTTAAAATGTTTATCATCCTGTTTCTGATAGCCTGCATTATATTTCATCTTCCTCAAAGACTTTTATGCTCACTGTTGTAATACCTACTGCTAAGACAGACTCGAGAACCACAGATATCTTTACTTCCAGCCAGTTCATTTGGTCATGGTTTCAATAGATGTTTGTGACCATTTTATCTCCTGAGATCTCTGTTCAACTTTTATTCAGTTTAAATGCTCCTTTTTATTTGTGTTGTGAAGGTTGTTGGGACAGGGATATGACACATACAGCCCCCAACTCCAGCAACATAAGGCATCAAATAGTCACTGCAGAAAAGGAGATATGTGTTGGGCACGTTACAACTGCATGCTGGCAGCGTGCAGGAGCATTAAGGGACCCAGGGCATAGCCTTGGTTCATTACTACTTCCCATTTCGGCAACTGGTTTTGTTTGGTGAGGACAGTTGTTGTGCTGCAAATTACACCAAGAATTAAATTCATATCTTCATTTATGGTTATCTGCTGCTTCCATGGACCGGAATGCAAGCTATGTATATAGGGTCAGCTTTGCTTTAGTTAGGTCTTTACTATGTTGCAAGGAGGAAGGGTAAACTATGCATCAGCAAATGCCTCTGTTGGCATTGCGTGTCACTAGCTATCGTTGTAAGTCACCAGCTTGTGCTTGAGTATCTTTTAATGTTCTGCTTCAGTGAAAAGCATTTCCAAGAGAAACAAGGGAAAATGCCTGGCTCGGACCCACTAACTCTTGTATGGCCTTTTGCTCTTGAGTGGTGGTTAAAAGATCACCATTTCAGGTCAAACCACTAACTGCTTTGAAGCTTGCTTTCTTGTCTTCTTTAGGTTTTTCATCTATATGGTCTGTCTAATGTGGGAAAACTGAGCTGTGATCTAATTTATGTTGGCCCATGTGACCAAAGAGAGAAGAAAATAATAGTCCTCTCTATCTGTAAGAAGTTCCATCTGCTTATTTCAAAAGTCGATTGCCTGCTCTGCATCATGTCAGACAGAAAATGACCTTAATGCATGCACCCAGTGTAAACAGCTGGGCATGCTTCATGAGGCTGCTCACGGCTGGCTCCAGCTCAGCACAGACTGCGACGTCACTGCTGCTGCCATGGCCAGGACACTTCCAGGAGCTCCTTCCTGATGGACCTCTGCTGGTATCATAGTGTGGCAGCGTTGCTTTTCTTGCTGGTCTGGCTTTTTCCTGCCCTCTGAGTTGAAATAGAAGAGATGCCCAGGGTAGAAGAAAGTGTTTCTCCTTACTACAGATTTCAAGATCTACCACTGAGACGTGATGCTGACCTGGCCTGCGATCACAGGATTTGTCTTGATCTTTCTATCCTTCAGCTCATCCTGTTGTTCAGGCAAAATCCCAACAATATAGATCCTTTTTGCCATGCTGAGTTTTCTTTCTCCTTTCCAGATTTGTTATTTCTTCCTTGTGTCTCTGTTAACTGCATTCACAAACAGGCTCCATTTTGTAACTGGAAAATGTATCACTTTTAGAGTACAATTGAATCCCGTGGCTTTAACTGTGGTGAAGAAATGCATGGCAGAGGAGGATTAAACTTAGGTCTGCCATGTGTTTAGGCATATGTGGGTCAAAAGATGCTTCAAAAGTGCATGTGGTGCTGACAAGTTCTGTCTCTTTCTCTCTTATGTCTTACTAATGGATCAGATCCTGGATGAGGTTGAAAGGAGAAGGGGAATATCTGCTGCCTTGGTTTATCCCTTTATGAGGAGTCTGATGGAATCTCCTTTTCCTGCACCTGGAAAGACAATCAAAGTCAAAACATTTCTGCCTGGAGCTGGAAATGAGGTAAAATGCAACTGCAAACATTAAAAGTCAAAGCCTCCTCCCTCACCACTCCAATATCAAACAGCAAAAGAAAAACAGGAGGAGACATATGGATACTGCAAGGCATATGAGGTGGCACACCCTCAAAATGTGCAGTGCAGGAGCTGCACCAGTGTTGATATGCTAATGCCAGTTCCCATTGATGATTATAGGCCAATTTATTGTTATGTATTTGTTATTTTACATTTATTAATAAGTTGTGTTTGAGAAAAAACCACAAACAACACAAATGTCTTAGTATGCCTGGCCTACTGTAGTTAACAGACTACAGTGTTGCTGGGCTTTATCACAGTGATAGCAAGCAAGCGTAAGTTTCCCATGCTGACTGTAATTGAACAGTTCAGCAGCTGGTTGTTATTGCAGACCTCGTTACTGCTGGTCCTGGCCTTGGTAGGAGGAGTGACCAGCAGCATTTAAATGGCTCTTTTTGGCAATAAATACCCTTTAACTGGCCCTCACAGAAATAGCCTATATTTGGAAAAGCATGTCATATAAAAGGGGTTTTTTTGTGTCTGTGTGTGTGCGCACATATAATAGATTTAATTTCCTTTTATTACTGACTCAAGTAGCTAGAAGCCTGGCATTATACAACATATGCCTTACTGGAAAATGGCAATATTGGTGCCTTGCTTAAAAAGCTTTTTGTAACTTGAGGCTTGCTAGCCATTCGCTGTGTCAAATTCTGCTCTCTGCATGTCCTTATGTAAGTATACAGTAACTCCACTCAGATGGGCAAGCATATAGAGGAGATACATTACTGCAGATAGGAATAGAATTTGGCCCAGTTAGTGAAAGCAGGAAAAAAATTCCCCTCTAGGGTTATTTTACACTCCTTAGGGTTAGTTTTACAGTGCTATTACTATTTTCACATTGAATTGCATTTTCTCCAAGTGTAATGCCACTGACTTCAGCCGAGTGGGCCTGTAGTGTCACTTGGTATGAAATGTAAAATGTTCCTGGTACAAGTGACTTGCAAGGCACGCGTAAGTCACAAGCATTTTCTTCTGGAGAAGCAAAGGAAAACTGAAAGGCTGTTTGGTGTAACAGTGGTAAGATCTGATAATGCTTTTTTGATGTGAATATATCTGGGAATCACGGATCTACGACTTCTCTGTCTTCTGCTCAAGCTTCTGAACTCTCCCAGAGAAAAAAAATGAGATAATTCCAAACAAACAAACAACTCTCTTCTGACTGAGCTTTGCTCTCTGTTATGCTAGTACAAACTTGTTATTTAAATGGAATGCACTGGCTTAATTAGGAACAGAATCTTGTCCTTCCATTGTGGCTCCTCTGGCCTAAACAAAGATGATGATTAATTGGGAAGTAGACACTATTTTTCTTTGTGATGAGCAGACTGAAGCAGAAGACTTTGCCAGGCAACAGAAAACATCTATGGCATTTGTAAAAGCTGCTGTAACTTGCATTGCATCCTACCCTGCAGCAAGATTTTAGTGTTGGAAGTTTTGCAGTAAAACCAGCTCCTCATGACTTGGCACATAAACATGATTGGAGCTTGCAATCCCAATGCTAAGGAATGGAGGTGGGCACCTTTACTGGATATGAGAAAGAGAAAGGCAGGCAGCGTCTCCCAAGGAGGCATTCATGGTAGCTCATCGCCCCGCAATTTGGTTCTTACTGCTGTTTGGGTCAACAGCTGAGTGATGGGTATCTAATACTCTGGCACCATAATGTTTCTGTATTTCAGGCTTAAAAAAAAAGTCAAATCTGTACACAAATATTGTTCTACCAGTGACTTTCTTTTTATAGTCCTGTGTTACTGATCACAAACAATATTACAACTCAAGTGGTATGAACTGGTTTTGTTTAGAGTATCCTGTGGTCTTGATCATATGCTTAAAACAGTGTGTTTGTGAGGAATTTTGTAAGGGCTACTCCAGTTTAAACCCACTACAGTATGCTCGTGGAACGTGGTGTCATGTGCATGAAAATATAAAAGTGGTCTAAAGCAATAAAGCGACAGTGATTTTTGAAAATACAGAAAGGAAGAGAGGTATATATGTTCCTGTTAATATGTCTTCAGAGATTTCAACACAGCTTCAAGTTGGCCAGCTTTTCCCCTTTCCCTTCTGTTTCCTCAAATTCCTCAGTAGTTCATCATTTGCAGTCTTGCACTTCATATTTTCCTCCCTGTTACTCTCTTCTTCATGTTATTTTTCCCTCTTCTTTTTTCTGTCCTCCACCTTCAAGTTCCACATCTGAGCATGTCAATTGCAGAGTAAAAGGAAGATATAATAAAGGAATCAAGCAAAAGGCATTTGAGAAAAGGAAGGAGAGGGCCTGAGGTCATGGATGAAGTATGAAAATTAGACTTTAAAGGGATGGCACAAGTCACCATCTAAGACCTTGTCCTGACTTCCCAGTTAAGTATATATATGTACATATCTTTATGACAAAAAAAGGTTTTAAACATTATCTAGTGAATTATGCATCATAGAAGAGTGAAAATGAAGTAAATTTGGTTTAAATTTTGCCTGGCCTTTAAGTTCAGTCCCTCCTGGCTCCTACCTAGCTGTGAATTTGAATTGCTAGCCAAGTTTATAACCAAATCTACCTTGTCTTTATGGCTGTTTTAACCCTGTAAGCTTCCAGCTCCAGTGATTCCAGTTTGTTACTTGCTGTATACTGTTGACTCAACCAAACTTTACATCTCTGATAGCATGTTTAGAAGGCAGAATTATGCTTCCCTCGGAAATAACAGCAGATTTAATGCACACAACTATATTCTGGGAAGAAGAATGACTTGATAGTGGATTGGGTAATATGCCATTTCTCTGGAGTGCTGTGCCTCCAGCCTCAGTTTGCAAAAGAGGATGGGAGTCGTTTGCTGTGTCTCCTCAACAGGAAAGCAAGGAGCGGTGCTGGAGGGCCTGGGCTGGGGTGCCGAGCACCCCGGCACTGTCAGCCCTGACCAGTGATGCTGACTGATGTTTGTTGGATGTGTTCAGGTCATTGAGCTGCGGCGACCCATGGACTCACGCCTGGAACATGTGGACTTTGAATGCCTTTTCAAGTGCCTCAGCGTTCGTCAGATCATCAGGATCTTTGCTTCTCTCCTGTTGGAGCGGCGTGTAATTTTTGTAGCAGATAAGCTCAGGTAAGTGGCAAAGGGACCTGAACCACACATTCAGGACAGTACTATTTCTGGATACAAAAAGCTTTATGAAATGTCTAGAATGCTTGTCAGATGTGAGGATCCTCTCTCTGTAGGATTTAAATAATTTTTACATCAATGGAAGTTATTTGCATCAGGAGGGGCACACATTCGCTAGCTGTCACTAGCTATGAGGCACTTGTTCTGTCTTACTTTCCTGTCCATAGAATGGCGATACCAATACTCACCTGCTTCATAGTCAGCAAATGTTTCCACAGTGTTTTGAAGCAATATAGTCCTAGCAATATTTCATTTCAGGTTTTGGGACAGAGTACTCATAAACAGTAGCGAAGATCATCACTGGGGTGCTTCATCTTGTGGCCATGCAGTGCAGCCAGGCAGGGAAGTGGGGTGCTGAGAGTTCATCTGGTTTGCTCCATGCAATACAGAGAGTTTATAGTGGGGCTAGGTTTAAAATCCTGCACTACCAAACCCATCCAGTGGGAGTGTTAAGAATGCTATTAAGGTCCATCCCAGCTAGTTGGGATATTTTTCCTGGTGCTCTCATGACCTGGAAACATTTCCTTTCTGAATGTCCGTCTTGGGCTCCTTGCTACATCCTTTCTACATACTTCTTACTTCCCTGCCCTTTGATTGCGGTCTCCCCTCCCTGGCTCCTCTGAGGCATGAACTCACCCCAAAGTGTAGGGAGTCGGAGTGACAGGTCACAACTCCATGTGACCTTTACCAAGGAAATGGGAGCTCTGTGTAGGCTGCACCTCTGCTGCACAGTAAAGAATCGTCCCTTTTTTAGATGCTTATGTAATCCATATAGAAAAGTGTGGACATTGTAAAGAAGACGTTCTTTGCTGTGGCATGATAAATAATAAAAGATGGCAAATAAAAATAAAGACTGTAATTTCTTAGACTCAGCAACATCTAGCGTCTTTTAAAAGGACACAAAAGACTGTATGGGTGGTTAAAAACACAGATGGATCTACCCAAACAAACTCTGTTAAACACTTTATCAGCCCCGACCTTCTCTGAATGACCGCCAGAAATAATAGCTGCACTTAGTGGCCGCCAGTGTATATAATAGCAAAAATACTTTGCATAGTAAAAGCTTTACAACCTTTAGGGGAGAATTTCTTAAAGCTGCAGACCCTTCTCAGGTTATAAAGTTACTTCCTTAGCAGTCTTTTTTGTTGTCTAGAACAACAGGAACATTTTATTTCATCCCTTCCCTTGTCAGTAACCCTTAGTTTGAATGACCATTTGGGATGACTTAATTTCACATAAACTCTTGGAGAGAATTGTGTAGCTAGTCCAGGGTTTTTGCAGTACAGTAGATATGTGAGTCACACCATGAATATTGGGGCAGGTGACTTTTGAAAATACTGTTGGCATGTTCCTTCTGACTCTTTTTCCTACAGCATGCTTAATTACATCACTCTGTTTCTATTTTACCATTCATTTAGCAGAATTAGTGGCACCCACAAGTCTGAATGTAACTCAGAATGACACAGGTCTGCATTCCTTCAAATGGCACAATGATTTGAGTGAAAAATCATAGAAATGGTACAGAGAAAATGAGGGCTGTGCTGTGCTGCCGCCAACTGTTGCTCTGCTTCGGAGTTCCCACTTACTCCTTTGTAATGTTGTCCAAGTTTTCAAAGTACCCCAAGCCTCGATCCATGGACCATGGGCACAGTACTGCAGGGATGTCTTGCTGCAGGAGACAGCCTCAGCCGTGAGGGCTGGGACAGAAAGCAGCCATTCCCTGGCACATTTCTCTGAGACAGCTGGCCTAGCCAATGTCATATAATGCTTCTGGGCACTGTTCAGAGAAAAGAAGCAACAATTAAACCTACTTTGACAGGCTTAAGGCAGGTTGGCTTGGAAAACAGTCATGTTGCCGATGCTGAGGGCTCATGGTAACCCAGGACTTTGTCAGGCAACCAGGGGTTTATACACATTGCAAGCCTAACTGACAGCTAACAGCTCAGGCTTGCCCATGCAATTACCTTTCTCCTGATAACTGCCGAGTCCTACAGACCTCAGAGCAGAGGGTAACAGAGTCCTGCTTATAGACAAAGCACTGCTGCTCTGCCTTTTGGCACACAGAAATAGGGCATCGGGACCAACAGGAACCAGAAATTATAAAGATCTCTTTTGGTAAGCACATATCCAAATGTTGTGCTCTCCTGCAGAAACTGTTCTCCAGCAAACTGTTGTTTCTGTTGTGAGAGTGAGCCATTGGGTTAGGGGCCATTAGCACATACTTTGAGAAAGGAGAGGATTCAGATGTATCCAAGAGGCTTATGAGGTTTTGTGGTTGCTCCTGTAAGAAGGGACAGAACTTTGCTTATAAAAAGGTTTATGTTCATATACTTTATTATACCCACACGAACCCTTTATTATATACATATACTTTGTTTTGTTTAAAAAGAGTATGACAAAATTTGGTGTGGTAGATAAGGCCCTGGATTAAGACTCGTGAATCCTGAGCTCTCCGTCTGAACCCTCTGACCTGCTGTGTGACACATGCTGGAAACATAGCTCCTCTTTCTTGTCTTTTGTCTGGTCTGTCTGGGATCCTAAATGCTCAGGGTGGAGACTGCTTCTTGCTCTGTGTGTGCACGCAGCTCTACTTGATACAGTGTGGCCCCTCTCAGCATGGGGATCTAGGAGGTACTGTAAAATAAAAACTAATAACAAGTACTTTGACAAAGGCCTGGAGAAAGTGACAGTGGATTTAAATTCAATACTTACTGAGGTTTTCATGGTTTAAATGGGGATGAAGTCTAAAATGAAACACTCTGGCTTTGAGCTAATAACTGTCTGTCTTGGAAGCTTTGCCTTGTCTGACATGAATCTTGTTTATGGGCATCACGGCTGAAACTGAAGGAGTTTACCAGTAATGTGTAAAAAAAAGAAGTGAAATATCTTATAGGTCCAGTCTGTGGGCCCAAAGAACGAAAGCAGGAAATTAAAAAGATTTTACAAGGGTTTGATTTCTGTGTGTACCCAAAAAATAGCTTAGAAATAAATGATGTTGAGGTTTAGGCTTCAAACAATGAGATGCAATGGGCTTTTGTGGCTGCCTGTTTAACAAGTCTCCAAGCAATAAATGATTTCACACGTTATATGAGTTCAGGCAAGTCATGCCTAGTGAAGTGAGATTCATTCAATAAATTGTTATTTATGGTTCTTATAGTGCCTAGAATGTGAAAATTTATAGTCCTTGATCTTTGCACAGAGAGCTTGCCATTTTTCAACACAGAAAGTGATGCTACCAGCAATGAGGAAGCAATAGTAAAGTTTTGAATGACAGGACTGTGAGGTTGCCTTGGTTAGATATGTGCAGTTAGGTTGGGGTGGGTTTTTTTCCCAGTAAGTTGCTTATATATTTTTTTCTGCTTGAAATGGGGTGAATAAATCCCTGTGCCTATTTGCTCACCTTCAAAAATGAATTTGAATCTGCCAGTGACCTTTCAGTATTTTGCTTTCCATGAACAGTTAAGAATACAACAGAGAAAGAAAGATAACGATAGAGAAACTTGGAAGAATAATAGTAATAACTCATAAAGAGGTAACTTAAAGCTCCAATTCTTTAAACATCTGCTGAAAGCACGACTGAGATGGTATGTCTCATCCTAGTTCCAATCCCTGTCCCAGCTGGGAGCCCCTATTTATCTTCCCGGCATTCTGCCTGTTCACCCCAACTCTGAAACAATCCCATGACTGCCAGCTGCAAAGAGAGAGCTGCTCTAGCGGTGTCCTCTGGGGTTTGAAAGGCTAGGCAGCAGACGCAAAATCAGTGGGTTCTAGGGCTTGGGGAACATTGGCGTCGCTGCAGGCACAAAGGTAGCAACAGAAAATAAATTGAAAGCAAACATTGGAAGAAAAATATTTCTCTGCTTGTTTTAGGTTTATGCTGGGGAAACAAATTTGCAGACATGTTTGCTGAGGAGGTGATGTATCCATGCATGTGAGAAAAGTCTCTTTGCCTTTTCCCCTGAATGTTTGGAGAGGGAGAAAGGAAAGCCTTGGGCATCTCAATGTCCCTTTGGTATAATACGATTTTTTATAAATAAAAAACACTTTTGCTGTAATCCACTATATTGTGAAGGATTCTGAGTATGTTTTGCTTACATTTTACATGTGGGTCCAGTCTCTCGCCAGCCGGAGTCAGTAGGAGTGTTTAGATGAGGCTTGTCTTTTGCTGTGGATCTAAATCCTACAATATTCGTTTCAGTGGCCTTTCTGAAGCTTTAGGGGCTGTGAAAGGCTTCTATAGAGTCCCTGCTCTTAAAATAACTTTTCATTGTTGTGAATTTTATTTTTATATGAGATATTTCAGCTACTTCTCAGTGAAGCAGGAGCATGGGTCTCAAGGAAGAAATCTCTGTTGACAGCAGTGGTTTTTATGCTCCTAAACCACATAAGTGAACTTGGAAATGTACCTCAAGGTGAAGGTGGGCCAGGCATTTCTGTAAGTGGCAGTGCCAGCTCAGAAAGTCCCACCTCCTCCTCCCCTTGTTTGCTCCTGCCCTGCGCCACCCTCTCCCTCACCCAGGAGGCTGTGCCAGCCCAGCTGCAGTAGGAATTACTCATTTTGCGGATTTTCTCCACACCAGATGAATCCCTTGGCCAGATCACAGCAGGAGCTCCTGTGCTCGGAGAGGGGCAGAGCAGGGGGCTGGGGCTGGGGGTGGGCAGGAGCATTGGGATGGGCACACTTCAGGATGGTGTTGCCACTGACTCTCCCTCACCCAGGAGGCTGTGCCAGCCCAGCTGCAGTAGGAATTACTCATTTTGCGGATTTTCTCCACACCAGATGAATCCCTTGGCCAGATCACAGCAGGAGCTCCTGTGCTCGGAGAGGGGCAGAGCAGGGGGCTGGGGCTGGGGGTGGGCAGGAGCATTGGGATGGGCACACTTCAGGATGGTGTTGCCACTGAAGGGTGTCTGTCGTGCACCATCCTTAGGTGTGAGCCAGC